GAGGGTGGCAAATCCTATTATGGTAAGTGAAATGTGGGGCCTTGAAGAGGTGATTAGATTGTAAGACCATGCCATAGTATATGGATTAAAAATGGTGGTCATGGGTGTGGTTTGGAGGGCTTTAATAGAAGAGAGAACGAGGCGGTTAGTGTCTCTGCTCTCTCTGCTGCGCCATTTTTCACAACGTGATACCCCGCCGTCACTGATGTCACCACCAAAGAAAGCTTTCACCAGATATGTTCGCTGGACTTTGGATTTCCTAGCCTCTGAAATTTTGTTTTTTTTATAAATTACCCAGTTTCATATATTTTCTTATAAGCAAAAGAAATGGACTAATACAAGTGGCTTAATGTAAGAATCACCAGGGGGAGTTTTTGTTTGTTTTTATTGTCATTGTCTAAGTCCACCTCAGATCAATAAAACAGAATATCAACAGCAGGGGCTCAGACATTGGTATTTTTTAAAGCACCTTGCTCCACCCAGCAATTTATTCTAATATAGAGCCAGAGATGATAACTACTGCTTTAGGCCATTTAAATCATTTATATATATGCTTTCCTAGCCCATTCGACTGGGAGCCCATTGGGTGCAGGTCATATACAGTATTCATCTTTGCATCTGAAGCCTTAACATATGGATGGATTAATAGGCACTTAATAAATGTTTATAGAATTCGGTTGCAATAATCTTTTCTTTTCTTTCTTTTTTATAATCCCATATAAAGATGACCGGTAAGGGGATCTTAACCCTTGTCTTGGTGTTGTCAGCACCATGCTCAGCCAGTGAGTGAACCGGCCATCCCTATATGGGATCTGAACCCGTGGCCTTGGTGTTACTAGCACCACACTCTCCCGAGTGAGCCACGGGCTGGCCCCACTTTGAGATTCTGATAAAAGTTTACAGACCCTTTCCCTGGGAAGAGGGAAAAAAAAAAAAGTAAAATTTACAAACAATATCAGTTCATGGACCCCTGAAGCCTTTCAGATAGACAGTTAAAACCTCTATTCTAGTTAGCTAGTATACACTGAAAATGTACTATGTGCAGGATACTGTTCCGACATATTATCTTGTTGAATCCTCACCATAGTCTGTGAGGTGGAGGCACTGTCCTTTCCATTAAACAGTTAAGCAAACTGAAGCACCCATTTAGGGCCACACTTTTAACAAGAGGAAGAGCTGAGATTTGAACCCAGTTAGCCTGGCCCCAGAGCCCACATTTTTAGCTCTTTACAGGACAGCCTCATGCTTGCACCGTTGTCTTGTAGCCTCATTATCTCCCCTGAGACAGACTCCCTGGCTCAGGGCCTTCCAGTTCTACCCAAGGCTTGTTACAGAAGAGGCTTCGGTTTTTTCCAAAAGCTTTGTGAAACGGGGCTTGTGGGTTGAAAAGCCAAGAGCATGTGGGGAGATGATGGGGAGTGTTATTCACATGCCTCAACCTTAAAACCCAGTTACATTTGGAAATTCTCGGCTAGTTCTCACCCTCCAAGTTGACTTAATGTACAACATGTGCAGGTTTGTAACTTCTGGACCCTCTCTTAGAAAATCGTGCCCTGCTCAAATTCTAGACCTGGTGGCCGCGGAAATGGTGTCAGCTTCATGGAGTGTGTGGGTTAATGTAGGCTCCCTTCCAAGCCTCTTGCCAGTTTCACGTTGCTTATTAGCTTGGCCCTAGGTCCCTGCTAGATTTGAGAGGGAATGTGGTCCCCAGTTCTGGTTAGAGATAAATATTTCCTAGGGATAAAGCATGCAACCAGAAAGCTTCCTCTGGATCCCAACACCATTTTGACCGTAGATTAATTAGTAATCTTTTATTTGCAATTGAAATTCAACTCAGAATAACTTAAAGAGAAGAATTTGGCTATCTAAGTAACCAGAAATTCCCAGGTTGCTGCGGCTTAGCTGAATCCAGGCCTTCTTTCCTTCACCCCTGTCTTGGTTTTCCTCTCTGTGGGCTTAATTCTCAGACATGCTACCCAGACACAGGATGGCAATATGGCAGCCATCAGTTCTAGATTTCTGTTTTCTTTTCTTTTCTTTTTTTCTTTTTTTTTTTTTTTTTTTTTTTTTTTTTTTTTTTT